TAATACACTTACTGACGTTTACACTAAAGTCGGGTGTAAAAGCCAGGAGTTGGGATAATTTCACTCTCAACGTGCATGTTTAAGAGTTACATCATCCAAGGCTGACCAATGGCTGGCAGCAAAAGACCTGAAATCTGGAAGAAGACCAGAAGAACATGGCAGCAGTTGCAATGGAGTGACAAGAAGGGACACATGGACCTCATATTGCTGGAGAAAGGCACACTAGAAAGTACGTCTGTCATACTTCCACATTATGGGAAGAGCTCTGGGAACCCTCAGTATTCCATAACATACATAACTACAGTTAAAGTGTATCTAACCCCCACCCTAAAAAATATTAACTATTTCATCTTACCAGGCTTTATATGAGGTGGCTGCATTTGTTTTCCTTTTCTAACCTTTATTTTATTTGTAATCCTTCAAATAACATTTCCTGTCACATTTCCCCTGTATCAACTGGGGGTGCAACAGTTGTCACACATGCTGGACTTACATTTCTGCCTTTGTTCATCTCTATTACATGATAGTTGATGGAATTAGTAGTTTACACAAGAAAAATGTGTAAAGGAAGCGACAAGGGCAATGCACTGACAAGTTTCAATACAATACATTTTTGGTTTTGAGTTTAGATACATTTAAAGCTGGATTTTTTCATATAAGAAAATTGTAATGTTTCTTGGATAGTATTAGCAAATAACTGAAGATACTCCTTAAAAGAAGCATTGAATCCTTTATGGTGCAAAGTACAATGGCGCCAGTAGGTCCCACATTAACAGTAGTAGTAGTAAAATTACCAGATGCTAATGGTGGGGTGGGAGCGGGGAATACATATAGGCAATGGCTTACAAGTTTGCTCTATCATTCCTATAGTTTACAATTAAAAGGGATTCTTCATCAAATCATAATGGACCTGGACTAAAATGAAGTAATTTTGATTTACATCAGTCAGAAATTACTTATTTTTTTTCTTAATAAACCTTCTTGTACCACTGTGTGCTAATTCTGTTGTGTTAATTGTACTACATTATGAAGACTTTATATGCGAACATTATGCTGCTCATAAACAGAAAAATCTTTCATCCAATGTGAAAAAATGATGGCATTTAGCATTCTCAAAATCATTGCAAAACAACAGGGAACTCCTCTTCCAGCTGAAACTGTATTTTGTTGTGTGCTTCTCTGGACAGAGTTCAGATTTTGTCCTCATTTACTCCTGTGCAAGAGTAAATGATGCCAGTTCCATTTACAAACATAACTGTAGAGGCTTCTGCCTGGAATGATCGGAGATTTCAGCATGCTTGCAATTTATTCAACCGTTACAATAAATTTTCATCTTTCAGAAACATTTGCATTTGTTTCCATTACATACAGATTACATATAGGTTAGTATAACAAAAAATAATGCATTCATTCATTGGATTGTCCAGCGTGTGGTATACTTTGCTTGCTACTGAGTTTTCATTCTTAGAAATACTGATAATCATGCCGTGACTATCAATTTAGCAGAATGAACAGAGATGTAAATGTTTCCTGATGGATTTTTTGAGCATACATATGATCTATAAAGGTAACGGTCTCAGGTAATAGAGAATGTTCAATGGTATCATCCAAACTACTGAATTTTAGACATAAAGAGATTCATCAGTCATTTAACATGCTGCTTTTTAAACATTACCATCTATATAGTTGATATATCTCCCAAATCTATACTAGATGTCAGTGCCATGCCACAGTGGTGGTTCTGTTGCTAGCAAGGGACCAGTGACCAGTAATGCAATAACCATAACTCAACTGTAGTTTTTCGTAATGGAAGTCGCTCCCTTACTAGCCAAATTGCTGTAAAATCTTGATTGCTAACAAGGGAACAATGATAGAGAAATATCTTGCTAATTCAGGTGGAGAGGGAGAGATTCCACAGGCAACAGTGATTTGAGCATTTCTATTTCTGGTGAGTAGCCTCTAATCGCTAGTGAGACAATTGTCTATGCAAGTCTAAATGTCTTGCATTTTTCAAACATGTAATTCAAAGATGTCTATCCAGCCTCTGCATGCACATCAATAGGATGGCACAGACATTAGGGCACCAATGGACATGCAAAACAATCCAAATAAAGGTGAAATGCTAAATTGCCACACATTTAGCCCACCACAATCTAAAATTTAACTTTTATCAAAAAGTTGCACTAAAAGCTTGATGTAAAGTTTACTAGAAAATACACTATATTGCCAAAAGTATTGGGACACCTACCTTTACATGCACATGAACTTTAATGGCATCCCAGTTTTAATCCATAGAGTTCAATATTGAGTTGGCCCACCCTTTGCATCTAGAACAACTTCAATTCTTCTGGGAAGGCTGTCCACAAGGTTTAACAGTTTGTCTATGGGAATGTTTGACAATTCTTTCAGAAGCGTATTTGTGAGGTCAGACACTGATGTTGGACAAGAAGGCCTGGCTCACAGTCTTTGCTCTAATTCAACCCAAAGGTGTTCTATCAGGTTGAGGTCAGGACCCAACAGGCCAGTCAAGTTCTTCCACCCCAAAATCGATCTTCCATTTCTTTAGGCACCTTGCTTTGTGCACTGGTGTGCAGTCATGTTGGAACAGGAAGGGGCAATCCCCAAACTGTTCCCACAAAGTTTGGATCATGAAATTGTCCAAAATGTCTTGGTATGCTGACGCCTAAAGAGTTCCCTTCATTGGAACTAAGGGGACAAGCCCATACCCTGAAAAGCAACCCACCACCATAATTTCCTCTCCACCAAACTTTACACTTGGCACAATGCACTAAGGCAAGTACCGTTCTCCTGGCAACCGCCAAACCCAGACACGTCGATCGGATTGCCAGACAGAGAAGCTTGATTCGTCACCTCAGAGAACACGTCTCCACTGCTCTAGAGTCCAGTGGCGGCGTGCTTTACACCACTGCATCCGATGCTTTGCATTGCACTTGGTGATGTAAGGCTTGGATACAGCTGCTCAGCTACGGAAACCAATTCCATGAAGCTCTCTATGCACTGTTGTGCTAATCTGAAGGTCACATGAAGTTTGGAGGTCTTTATCTATTGACTCTGTAGACAGTTGGCGACTTCTGCGCACTGTGCGATTCAACACGCGCTGACCTGTGGGACCATGTTGGCAAAAAAAAACACACAAGGTTTATAACCCTCTCTTACTCTATCCAAAATGAAAAAAAAGTTTTTCCTTCAGTTTTATGTTGACATAGGTAATAGTCCTGACTCCATTCTATCCAAAAATAATACAAACAATTGGATGGATTTGGCATTTAAAGTGATAAGTTATTCTGAGGCAAATCTTTAAATTGTTCCAGCATGAAGTAATAACACATGTAGTTCATATTAGCTTTGCAGCCACGTGCAGCTTTTAGCTCTGTCTCTAATCAATATACTAGGTAGCTTGTTGGCCTTGGGATCAATATTAAGTGCATGCATGGCTTTGTCCTTGTTTAGAGAAAAGAAAAGCAATTCATGTTATGGCACTTAATGACAGCAAAACAAGCTAAGTAATTCACCTGTGACACAGGTTCTTTCCTACAGAACTGACCCAAGCGCTGTAAATAAGGGATTACAGATCCTCCTTTTGTAGATGTCACCAGCTATTCTTGCTACTGGAGTCCATATATAGCAAAACTGATATTAAACGTTTCATGTAAGTATATGAAGCAAAACATAAACATAATAGACAAATAACCTTTCGTAATTCTACCGTACACAAATAATTTGGTTTATAATGAAACTTATGGCATTCACACAGATTGTGCATCAATAGGAAGCAACAGAAATGGTCATTTATGTTCTTGTATGCACATGTTTATGTATTTAAGAAGTCCGCATTGATAGTTCTGATGTTTCCATGGAAACATGAAGGTTCATACTACTGACTTTATTGCTGTTACACAGCAGCTGAATATTATTTGAAGTAGCTGTTTTGTGTTTTTTCTTTTTTTTTTCAGTTTATGTTGTTTCCTTGCAGTGAAACTGTTTAGGGCAAAGCAATTACAGAGCATTCGGAGCACGGAACAAGACACCAGGGAGGATTTAACTGGACAAAGCTGAAACCTTTCCTCTGTTTTTGGTTGTTCTGACATTATATCTATATATTCATGTAATGGAAGCTCCTTATAAATGCATTGGCCTCAGCGCTATTTCTTCCACATGCGTCAAATCTCTATATACAGTATATGTAGTTAATTATGTGTCTGGCCTGCAAAAGTAATATATTGGAACTTAGTCATTTCAAACTGGCCAACTGCATAAACACAGAAGAAAATCATATTATCACCCATAGATTTGGAGTCTGCCTTTATTTTCAGACTTGCTTCAGAGAATTAAAGCAAAAATTCAGTAAACTGTTATCGGGCACTCAGACACTAGTTGTGGAGACTTGGAGATCCTAAGCACAATGGAAGCCTTAGGCTGGTTATAGATGGTTATAAATGACTTGTTGGTCATCTTTAGCCAGCCCATAGATGTTTGACTCAGCAGACTGATTTATATACATCTGAAAAAAAATACAAACGGATTCCCCTATCTACACTAACAAGGTGCATGGAGGAATTCTCCCCACTGTGCCATTGTATTCTGACAGTGGGGCTTTCCCACTGTCAGAAAACACTGATTCAGTCAGAGTGCAGCCCACTTCATCTGCTAAAGCAGCCAAATTTTGATTCATCTATGGTCAGCATTATGCAGATTGTGGCTAATGCTCTCCGTGTATTCAGTATGCCACCATAAGCACATAAACCAGCCTTAATCATATATCTAATAATGAAAATAAATGGTTGATGTGTCACTGTCAGAAAACACTCCATGATCAGCAGGTGCAAGCCCATAAGGCACATTCCATTGCTTTTGTTTCTTGCTTACATTTAAGATCACTTGTAGGTCAACTTCTCACAGTTATATGGGAAATAACCACGCAAAATGTCTTTTCTGTGCTCACAGCTTATCAGTTTTATTCAACCCCCAAATTTTGATTCTTATACTATGTACAGCATCCTTTTACAGATTGTAACAGCTTTTTAATGCTCATCCGTGACATTCAGTGTCTGCCACCGATCTAAGCACATGGGCAAAGGCCTCCAGTTCATCACATTCTTAGGCTTGCGCACTGCAAAGTCCCACCAATCAATCGGATTTAAGTCTGGTGACTGCGATGGCCACTCCAAAATGTTCCAGCCTTTCCTCTGCAACCATGTCTTGGAGGTATGCTTGGGATCATTAAAAAAGGTCCAACGTCTCCCAAGCCTCAGGTGTGTGACTATTAGTTTCCATCCAATATCTCCTGGTACTGAAGAGAATTTCTGGTACCTTGCACACGCTGAAGCTTCCCTGTACCTGCAGAAGCAAAACAGCCCCAAAGCATGATTGACCCTCCACCATGCTTCACAGTAGGCAAGGTGTTCTTTTCATCATAGGCCTTGTTCTTCCTCCTCCAAACATAGCGTTGATCCATGGGCCCAAACAGTTCTAATTTTGTTTCATCAGTCCACAGAACACTATCCCACAACTTTTGTGGTTTGTCCACATGGCTTTTGGCATACTGCAGTCGACTCTTCTTATTCTTTGGAGACATGGGAGTTCTGGCAGGTCTGGGCTGAAACTTCTGTACCCACATCTGACAAATCAACAGTCCACGGGAGCCAATAAACAGAGCACAGCAGTCGAAGTCAGCATCTTCTTTCTGCCACGACCAGGTAGCGTTTCAACAGTGCCCTTTGCCTTGAATTTGCGAATGATTCTTCCTAAGGTGTCTCTTGGTATGTTTTCTTTGCAATCTTCTTATAGCCATTGCCCTTCCTGTGAAGAGAAATCACCTGGTGGACCAAATCTTGCCTTTTTTGTAACCTAACATGTCTAGAAGCAATCACAGTCATTTTAAAGCTTGGTGCTTTTACACCAATACCTTCAAGCTAAGGTTAAGTTTACAATATACAATTTACAGTGCCAATAGGAACGTACTTCTGGTACTGAAGAGAATTCATGGTACCTATGCACACGCTGAAGCTTCCCTGTACCTTCAGAAGCAAACAGCCCCAAAGCATGCACCAATGCTTCACAGATAGGCAAGGTGTTTCTTTTCATCATAGGCCTTGTTCTTCCTCCTCCAGGCAGGCAGTCTGGGCTGAAACTTCTGTACCCACATCTGACAAATCTTTTCTTCAGTTCCTCAGCAGTCACACGGGGACTTACTCTCCACTCTACGCTTCAGGTAGCGCACAGCAGTCGAAGTCAGCATCTTCTTTCTGCCCACGACCAGGTAGCGTTTCAACAGTGCCCTTTGCCTTGAATTTGCGAATGATGCTTCCTAAGGGTGTCCTCTTGGTATGTTTAACATCTTTGCAATCTTCTTATAGCCATTGCCCTTCCTGTGAAGAGAAATCACCTCTTCACTTGTCTTCCTGGAGGGGGTACAGAGGTTTAGAAAAGTATCTGTACATTAGAAACAGCAGTTTCCATGGCACTTGAGTTGCTTTTATAATGATCTAAAGCAGATATGTTACATTATATGACCTGCAACAGCACAGTCTTCATTCACATTTCACTCAGCGTACTGCTGCTGTGGCTTTGATCACCTTATTCATAGCTGGAGCACTGTGACAGGTACCTTCAACATCTTCCCAATTTTCCTGAAGTGAAACTTAACTTTGAGTATAAAGCCAGCCATAGATGGTTCGAACCCCGGCTGGTTCAGCAAGGACTTGTCAGGATTTGAATCATCTATAGGTAAGCTGATTGTACTCAAGTCATTTGTTGTAATCACTGTGTTCCCCCGGAGGGGACGGCTTGCCCCGCTCCCCCCAATGCTGGATGAACTGTGCAGATGGGGGAATCAAGCGATTTTCTGATTGCACAAAAGAAAATTGCACCATATATGGCCTGCTTTAATCCAAGTGTGACCAAGTGTAAGAGTTTCTGCAGATAGCAAACACACACATACATATGTATGCACAAACATAGATACATATGGAAACACACACATCCAGTTTGCATGCTTACTATTGTACATAGACTAAAAAGTGCAGGTTCCCAGTTCTACCGGATTCAATATTATGTCCATTATAACTGATAAAACTATAATGCCTGTCTTTTTAAATGCAAAGAAAAATGTTAGAGCATGTATATATTCTATTGGGTTTGAAACAAAGCATACAGTAGAAAGAAACACAACACTGTTTCAGATGTAATACAGAAAAAGGGTCATAAGGCACGGAGTCCCAACAAATATGCACGGATCACAACATAGACGTTATATCTTCATAATATGAGAACATAACAGTTTGAAAATCAGAGCAGACATGTATTTTTCTGACCAGTTTACCAATCATAGATAACTACTGATTACACATACATCAAAAAGTTTACAAAAAATATTTGAATTGTTTTTATTCAGGTTAAAAAAAAGGCTCTCTGCCTGTAGATGGAATTTTACAAAATTGTATTTGCTTTTTAGTAATTGCAGAACGTTCTTTCAGGATAGCCTGATAACTGGTTTTATTCCTTTGACATTTAAACACATGTGAAATTAAGTAAGGCAGAAGCTTCTGATTTCAAGTTACTGGGCAAGACGTTGTGTATGGCTCACAAGGGAGTTAAAGGAAGGCTTGCCAGTGACAATCGGCAATACTGCCTGTGTTATTCCTGCAGTAAAGAGATCAGTTTATAGCCAGGATATCTTCTTGTCAAAGGATTATTTATCAGTAGCAATAACTAGGTTCAAATATGTTTACATTCATTGTTAATTATTTTTATTTTATCTGCAGATGGAAGGAAGTTGTAAAGATATTTATAGGCAGTTAGAAATTTGAATTTCTGCAGAAAACAGCTTGATAAAATTCTGGAGAGGTTATATTTTTCCATTACAATATAAATGTGAGCATTACACATTGCTGCACACATATGCTAAACAATGTGTACTAAAGAGCAAATAAAAGCACCGAATGAGATACAGAAGAAAAGAAGTACGTTACCAGGCAAGTCATGCAAAAAAACAATGTTTAAACATACATTGTGCTTAAAGTGATTCTAAAGGCTTTTTTTTTTTTTTTTTTAGAAAAAATAACAAGCATGTCTATACTTACCTGCTGTTTGCTGCGGTTTTGCACAGAGTAGTCTGGATCCTCCTCTTCTCGGGTCCCTCGCTGGTGCTTCTGGCCCTCCCTCCTGTTGGGTGTCCCCACAGCAAGCAGCTTGATATGGGGGTACCCACTGCTCTGTGTGTATATTCACACATGGAGCCCTGGCTCAGCCCCGCCCCCTCTGTCTACTGAATTGGCTCACTGGCTGTGATTGACAGCAGTTGGAGCCAGTGGCTCCCTCTTCTGTCTCAGCCAATCAGGAGAGGGAGTCCTGGGCTAGCTGAGACTCCAGTGCACATTACTGGATCGAGAGGGGGCTTAGGTGAGTATTAGAGAGGGCTGGGAGGATACGGCACACAGAAGGTTTTTACCTTCATGCATAGAATGCACGAAGAAAAAAAACCTCAAATCTTTACAATCACTTTAACCTTGGAGAAAAGCATTTACAATATATTAAGGCCTATTAGGGAAATACATGTTTTTATTTATCAGGGTCACCTAAAAAGAGTTCATCTTTCTCCAATCACCAATTGAGAGGCTGTTCTTTGACTGAGAACCCTAAATGTATAATTTTCATAAGGTTAAACCCTTTTCTGAAATATGAGATTGAATAAAGTTGAGACTTGGTAGTTCTTTCACTCATATTACCATTTTTAAGCATTCTATTTTCAGTAGATACTGGTGATTCTCTACCATTCTCTTTTAGTGAATCTCACCCCTCACTTCTCTTTTCTCAGAAATACAGTTGTTATGCCTGAGCATCCACCATAAACTAATAGGCATGTAATTCTTTGTTAAGGCAACTAATGTTGAGTGAAGTCATATTGTTCAACCTCATAGTTGATAGAATGATTTTATCTTGCAAGTATTGATGCTGTTATATGCTGAAATCATACATAAGACTCTCTGTTATTCATTGGATTCACATATGTGCTAACATTATATTATTTCCATTGTAGAAGTTTTTGCTTTATAAAAATAAAGAATGCAAAGTTCCCCCATATGGTACCAGCCATGCTGACTGGATAAGTGAAGATGTGTATGTTCCCACCATGCTCATTTGCCTTCATCTCTGAACAAGTGCTGCAAGATGCATCTCCCAAAATGCCACGTTACTGCCACTGCAAAGTTATAGAAAGTTTTTCTGTCCAACTAAGGAAGCCCAGTCATTATGAATTGTCTGCCAATACACCATAACCAATGAAAAAACATTAATTTAGGGAAGGCCAAGCACTCCTCCAAGACATGTTGAGGGCCCACATCACAGTACTACCCAAAGATGGAAAAGACTCCCAACAATGCCCTAGCTACCGCCCTATCTCCCTTAAATGTTGATCTAAAGATTTTAAGTAAACTGCTGGCCTCTAGACTTATCTCTCATATCCCTACTCTCATACATAGAGATCAGTCCAGATTTGTTCCAGAACGGGAAGCCAAAGACAACACCCAGCGGGTACTAAATGCCATATAAATATAAATGCCCAATCCAAGCTGATTCCACTTATTCTTCTTTCCATCGATACGGAAAAAGCCTTCGACAGGGTCAGCTGGGACTTCATCCAGATGACCCTGTCCCACATAGGCTTAAGTAATAAAATGAGACAAGGATACAAGCATTGTACTCTGACCCCGCGGTGTCAGTGAAAGTCAACAAGGCCATTTCTACTCCCTGTTCTGTAAGCAATGACATCTGTCAGGGTTGTCCTTTATCTCCCCTAATTTTAATTCTTTCCTTGGAACCCTTCCTTCAGACTGTAAGGGCTGCAGGCCTCTCAACATCATCAAGGCATCACAAGTTAGCTGCCTTTGCAGACAGCCTCATATTTTTTCTCATGTCTCCGATGGTCTCGTTGCCAGTGCTGCTCCATGAACTTGGTCGATATAGCGCCCTCTCCAGTTTCTGGGTCAACCTCACCAAATCAGAGGCAATATGTATTTTATATATTTTATATAAACATGACTTCTCCATGGTGAAATGACTCTCCCCACTCAAATGATCTGACTCGCATATTCGCTACCTAGGGACTAATATCCCTTGAGATACTTTTGTAACTTAATTTTGCTTCCCTGGCTAGGGAAATTAAGCCAGACCTCCAGAGATGGGACAGAGAGGCATTCACATGGTTTCATCAGGTTTGGACACAATCATATCCTAAAGATTAACATTCTACTATGTTTACTATATCTGCTGCAGACACTACCAATCAAATTGCCACCCAGCTTCTTGATAGACCGTAGGGCCAGATTTCTCTCCTACCTCTGGAAGGGGACGAAAGCTAGGATAAACAGAACGACCCTGTCTTTGCCAAAACAGTGGGGTGGAATACGCCCAGACCCAGTTAAATACCACATTGAGGTCCATATGGCCAGACATTTGGACTGGTGCACCCAAAAGAAGAGCAAAGCCTGAATAGATCTTGAACAAGCTAATAATTACTTTCTTCTGAAGGATTTACCATGGGCAAAGATCCCGTCATCTCACGTCACCAGAATTTTTGGTCACCCATTCAAAGGAACAACCGTCTCAATACTTCAGAAGCCATTTTGAAAACTCAAGCTTGTCACTGGCCCCCAGCCTGCTGATATCGATTTTGGGTACCCCACAATTCTCTCACAATTAGACTGACTGTCAGCTCCAAACTCTTGTGTATATGGATCCGAGCTAGATTTCCTTAGATGCAAACAGCTGGGTCCCGGATACAGGAGATATTCTGCCCTATCCAAGCTCTTCATTCTCTCACCCCGCTTTGACAGGATAGTGCTCTCCTGCACCACACTTTGGCCCTGTCCTTTTCTGTGTTGATCTCAGATATACAATCATGTGATCATATCTTTTTGCGGAAATGGGAGGGCGATCTATGGAGACTTTTTTTCTCAACCCCAAAAAAGACAGGATTTGCACATAAGGCATCTATTGCTAACACATACAGTACCAAGTGAATGGCTATAAAATAATGTCACGATGGTACAGGACTCCCGAACTCCTACATAAAATCGATATCCCCTCTTTGATGGAGATGCAGTCAGGAGGAAGGTACTCTACTCCGCATATTCTGGTCCTGCCCTACCCTTCAAGGAGTTTTGGACTGCAGTACTCACAACAATATATAACATGACGGATTTGTCTCTTGCGGGAGATCTGGTGGCATGTTTACTCCATGTCACTCCTATGTCCATAAAACACTATAAAAACTCTCTCCTAAAACATCTGCTTAACGCAGTTAAGGCATGTATACCAGCCATATGGATGAATTCCTCTCCACCTACTACTGCACAATGGCTGGAGCGTGTAGCTGATATACAGCTCATGGAACAACTGACGGCTAA